ATATAAACAATATGTGGTGAGAAAGGTTCATGAATTTAGAGCAAAGCATTGTTAATCTGCACCTAACACTGAAAAACGTTTGATCCACATGTTCCGTTAGAGCCTTGTATATTACCATCAGTAGCGAGACAAAAGTGAACAACTGGAACGAAAACAGACAGTTTCAAGGGTGAACCCATTAGAATATTAACAAACAACCGCAGTGGGTTCTGCTTAGTGAACCAGTTTAAGATTCTAAGGTCAGAGGTGGGCAGGTTAGCAATGTTGACAGCTGCACGTGGATCTTGAAGTCAGATTTCAGTTAGTGCTTGTGATGGTTTTGTTCGAAAGTCTAACAACAGCTCCATTACGTTGACTCGGCCCCTTGAGCAAACCTACTAGACTAGAGAACACTGTATACCGCATCTGCCTAGTTTGTGCATTGTTGGGTCTCGTTGAAATGCGTTTTAATGATGATAGAGTTAGTGTTTTCTTAAACGATGTCTTGTGTTTCATCCCTGCGGTCGGGGATTAAAGGCTGAGTTAGGGATATGACGTCGTGGTTTGAAGTTGATATTGCATGCATGGTAACCGCAAACACGGCTCAGGAGCACCTGCAGAGCTGGGTTGAATACATCTCAGAGGAGCACACCGAGATCCTCTGACAGGGTGAAAACACGTGCGTCCAAATACATAACCTCCACGTTGTTGAACAATATGACAGAAGTTTGCACATACACCACATCTGACGTCGAATTACGTACACACGGAGACTCACTGAGTTGTTCTCACTTGCCCCTACAAGTTCGCATCATCGCAGATCGGGTAACACCGAAGTATTAAAACTAAACTGGAGAAATGATATGTGATAGTTTAGTGCAGTGTTAACCTTAACTTGAACGTCATTTGCATAACCAAAGAAATTTATCAAGTCAAGAACCTGTGTTGGTGTGTAACAACAGCATGCAATTCCCTTCAGGACAGGATGTTTTCATGTACGCATGATTATCGTGAAGGTCAGATGCTGTAAGGAAACGCATTTACTTTCGGCCGGCGCTTATTTACTGGATCGCAGAAATTGAAGACACGCCAGCAGGTTGAACATGACCTGCACAACTAGCTCTTTTGAAATGAACATATGACGAAAAGTCCATAAGGTATTCGTAAATAGTAAAAACTTACGATTTTGATTTGAAAAGAAGGGATGCAAATCTTTAATCTGAATACGGTTGAATAATTCAAGAAGCTAAAAACTCCGGTTTTAACAGAGTTCGAACTAGAACACTTACAGGTTTCGGAAAAATCGTCCAACAACAAAAATCAGAGAAACAATTAACACAACTAAGTATGAAGATGTCAACCAGAAGGTAAAATCGGACTTTTCAAGCGCACTACAGCCATATATCACTTTCTTAAAGCCGCTTGAAAGACCCAGCTACTGGCATTACTGACCGTTTGAGCCATAGGAAATTTCGTCCTGGCAACGACTATCTCCGCATTTTATTTGACAAAGGTCAAACCCTGACATACCGCTCAGACATCAGATTTTCAATTGCACCACCTCATAAAATATGGTACAAATGATTATTTTATGATGCGTAGGTTATATCCGACTGGCGCAAATGTAGCATTGGCGATACTGGTGGAAATAACAAAGCGAACATGGCATCTTCTGTAGGATTCTTAAAAAAGGATCTTCAGAATTATTTAGAGCTACCGCACAATTAACCAGAAATCAAGAGTAAGGTTTCTGAAAGCTGACC